CGTCTTTAGCCCTTTCCTCAGTTTGGGGTGCAGCAGAGCGTGAATGTGCCTCGCAGGATGGGGGGTGCCGGGGATGGAGGGGGTGCGTCCTGCCTTCATCTCTGGCAATCCCGAATCTGTCTCCGCTGCCGTCTGTCCTGGTGTTTAGTTGGCAGGAGCTGGCAACTCACACCCCCCAGTCTACACCAGCATGAGCCTGATGGGAGAGGAGCCGTGTCTCACCAGGGCCACAATCTCCAGCGAAGATGTTTTACTTTGTGTGCCAAGACATTAAGTACACGACCCGCCATGGCAGGATAAGGAGTGAGCTATTATTATAAGCGGCGACAAGGTGGGAAGGTGTTTTGGAAGCCTGATGCGAAGAACAAGTTTAGTCAGTGATCCCCCATCCCCAGCCATGAGCCAACCGCCCGCACCAGTGCCGTGGGGTGAGGAGGGTCGGGAACACCGGGTACCTCCCAGCATGGCAACCCCTGCAGGTACCTGGTGTCAGAGAAAAGCATCCCAGCATCGTCTCCGCCTTGTTCTGAGCCGGGAGCTGGTGTCTCTGCCATTAAGGATATCACTAATGAGACAGAGAAGTCCTTTTCGTTTGCTTTCCTGCATTCAGTTTTAGTCCCGGCTCCTGGGGAGCGTGGTTTGTATGACCTGCACATGTGAAACATCCTCTTTTTTTTCTTATCTATTTAATCTATGGTCTTTGGTCACTGCTAAAACACTTTAAAAATGTTTCAAAATAATGAAGTGAGCTCACTAGTGTGAGGATTACCTTTCAGTTCAAAACTGAGTTTTTAAATGAAATCCAAGGGCAACATGTTTCCTTGGCCTCGTGGGTCTTACTCTGCCAGGCAGGCAGGCGTCCGTGGCCAGTTAGAAATCGAACATATGGGGAGTTTCAGTGTGCAAAGCCTGATTCCACAATTTTTGTACCCTTAAACTTTCAGCAAGTGGAGATGAAGTGTGGGGATAAGCAGTGGATGCAGCCCGGGATGCGGATGATGAAAACAGCACGTTGGTAAGTTGCCACAGCGCTAACAAAGGAGTTGCTGTCAGACTTCACCGATTTTTATGTTCATTCAGTTTATTTGGCTGTTGTCTGCTTGCATCCTCGGAGCTTTTTCAGTTCCTTGTGGAAAAGAGTAAAATACACAATCATCGTTTAGTTTATTTCTTCAGAAGTGTCCACATTAAACAGTACAAGTTAATTAAGCAGAGTTGCATGACAGATGTTTTTATATAAATGTATAAACACCACCACAAAATATAGACTATATACCACGTAGGCAACATACACAGTGCAAACAATTGTCTTCCATCAGTACTCTGTATCTTCGGGATACACCACGTTTATTCAGGGATGTGTTTTAGGGGCATAGAGAGGAATTCCTTTAAAAGAAAAAGAGACACAAAGATACCTCAAAATCTTCCTGGCGATGCCTACATTGATTTTTTTTCAGGTGCCCCTTCCACGCTGCTGCACCACGAAGCATCGGTGAAGGCTGTGCGGGCACTGGGGCTGAGCCCAGCCGGGGAGGCGGTTACCAGTTCGCAGGGGTGAGAAGAGCTGTGCTGGGAACCGCTGGGATTTTGAAGCCAACGCTTGAGCAGTAAAAGCATCATTTCCCACGTGCCGTCACAGAGGGCTGGACCCTGCAGCTCTTGCTGGGGACGAAGTGACATGTGCCCCGCTGGTGCCACGGGGCTGACACAGCCCATCCCGCCCGCCCTGGGGAGCTCCCAGTGCCAGCTGCTGGTCGCTGGTGCAGTGGGTCAGTGTGGGGACGTGGGGCTGGGTCCCAGCTCACAGCTGTGGGGTCCTGGTAGGCAGCCGGGTCAGGGCTTTCTGCTGTCTCTCCACTGCTGGAAGGGTTTCTTGTGGCTCTGTTCGCTCAGCCTGGGTGAGGATGCTGTGCCCTGGCTGTCCCGTTCCCTCCTGGACACCCGCTGAACATGACCCAGACCCCCCTTAGCAGTCACGGGCTGTGTTGGTGCCCAGCCCCGCTCTGTGCTTGGTGGGCACCACATTGAAGGGAGACACTTGATTTTTTTTTTTCCCCCAGATAGTATCTGCATACTCAAGAAGACTGCAGCAAAATATTTTCAACCTTTTCTGGCACTCAGCTCACCCAGACCTCACCAGATGGCTCCCACCCAAGGACTTGTACCAATGCCCCCGTCCCAGCCTGGGCAAGCTGGTAGCACTGCTTTCACTGGTGCATATGGAGTGACAGATTGCCTCTCCTGGAGTACACTTCCATCTGTGGCAAAATTACAAATTAATTTGATGAATTTTTTTTTTTGCGCTCTTTGATCAACGTTATTTAACCTGTGCCATAACCCCTGACAAAACCACAGCACAGGAATTCTGGCTTGTTATTGAAACCAATGTCATCTATGGAGTGTCACACAGCATTCTTTACAGCTGTGTACAAGCATCCTTAGCAACACCTTATTTTTCTTGCAGAAATTTGATGTGTTTCCCCCTGAAAAAATGATCAACGTTGCTTCATCATCATGGTTTTCATTGTAACCTATATGAAAAGTTTCACATTTTGAAAGGACATAATAGATCCTTTCAGATCTTGTTTGACCCATAGTGACTATATGCACGGGATTTCTGGAGGAAAAACTCATTTAGAATAAGCACGATGAGCAAGGGGCTTAAAAACTACTGCAGAGACAGAGATGGGGCTCTCAGGGACTGAAGCTGAGTTAAAGGCTTTTATGGTCCCGTCTGTCGCAGAAGCCCCCGTACCTGTATCACTGCTCTTGACACGTGATGTGCTCAGGTGTGTCACTCAAGCTGCCAGGTCAAGAAACAGCTCTCTGAAATGGAACACTGCACCCCACCAGGGAGACGAGGGAATGGATTAGTAACTTTTTAATACGCAGATTTTAATACGCAGATTGTCCCTGTTAGTCACCACACCGGGTTTCCGGGAGGCTCTCCAGAGCTGCAGCACCCTCCTGTCACCCTGTTCCTGGCGAGCCCGCCTCTGGGAAGGAGCAGGGGTCCCCTAAACCATCCCTCCTCAGACTCCTCTGGCTTAAGCAGTTGCTGTGTCTCAGGGGTAACCAAGAGTTAGCTGGAGGTTAGCATGCACCCACACCCTGGGGGGGAAAACCCAACCCATAATTTCTCTCTGCATCTCCTCGTGTGAGTACCTTGTCGGTGAATACTGCACCTTTTCCACAGTGACACCTTCCTGGGCTGGGAAAAACCTTTTTTGTGCCTTCTACTGGAGCGAGTGTTAATAACCGTAAGTAGCCCCAACGATGCAGCAGCGAATGTCCACCATGCACAGAGACGTCGGCGTGTATGCGGTCGGATCCCCGCTGAGCTTTGGCAGGAGCTATGCTGCTTTCTCGTCCCCAATCACCGTCGATGTTCTTCTCAGGTTTTCCTTGACTTTAATGAATTCTGGTGCATGGTCTTCCTGCTTCTCCTGCTCTTTCTCCAGCTGTAAGGAAGAGGAGTCACCATTATCTGTGCATGCTAAAGGACAGCAGTGCGTTAGCTACATTAAACTGGTGGGCTTCGTTATTGCTGGGTGTCCACTAATTACTGCTGAATGAGTGCGTAGTGCATGTGCCGTTGCTCTTTTTCCAAACCATTACACCAGAGCCATGTTCACCCCGAGTCTCTTTTTCTAGCCAACTGAAACATTATTTTTCTTTTTTTTTTCCTCCAGGGACAAACATCTCCAGTAGAAAAGCAGAGGAGTGCTTCACTCCAGACCTGGCATACAGGAGGGAGGAGGACGTTTGAATCCTTCCCAGCAAAGGAGTTCTGTGAGCCTGGAGAAAGCTCTCACCGTTAGGTTATCTTCTAAGAGGGGGTAAGTCATTGTACTGCCTCACTTTTATAGGCAAAGTCTTTATGGGTCTGTCCCTAAACGATCATATTTCATACCCCTGGTTCTGCTCTGAGAGTGCTGGGCTTTGATTTTCAGGTGATCTTGGCTTGGCTGACATTACTGCAAGGGAGCTGTCATGTCATTAAATAAATAAACTAGTTTAATCAATTTGCAGTGCACATGCTGGCAAGTAGGACAGGGAATGACTTTCTTTTCAGTGGCAACAAGCTGACTTGCTGCTTGCATGGGTTTGAGTAAGGGGGCAGGTGCAGAACACACCCGGGGCATGGCTGTGGTGGTCCCGAGTGCCCATGCTTGCTCTCCCCAGGCATATTTTTGGCCAGAGTCCATTTCAGGAACTTCTCCCAGAGGCAGCTGGGGTGTGATTGCAGCAGGGTTTGCACCTTCCAGCGCTTCTGCAGCCTCTCACCCTGCACCCCGGGGTCCTGAGCACCCCTGGGGTAGGTGCTGCAACAACCCCCATGCTATTTGGCGTGCTTTGAGCTGGAAAGGACACCCCAAGGACACCACATGGGACCTGGAGGAGACCCAGGGCCAGCGGTGTGTGGAGGGGATCCTGGCGAGGTGGTACGGAGGAGGTGGATCCCACCCTGAGGATGCAGGTGCTGCAGCTGCCTGGGATGTACCGCAGCTCCCGTTTCATGGAGGGGCAGCAATGCTGTTCCTGGGGTTGAGTCTCAGCCCACCCATCTCCCCTGCGGTCTGTGCCTTGTGCGGGGTGGTTGGGATAACCCGGGGATGACGGAAAACTCAGTTCTACCTGATCCAGCCTCTGGTGCCTCTTTAATAGCTCTTTTTCAAAAGGAGACTGCAATTTTTTTGCCTCTTCCTCTTCCTTCTTCTGTTTGATGAATTGGTTTCGCCGTCGGTGCTCCAGCACCCGCTGCAGCTCTGGCTTGCTCTCCACTCCCAAACCTCTGTGGATAAAAAGCAGAGAAATCAGGGCCAGAGCACCTACACCCCGGGCTGTAACCACTCCCAGCCCGGCAACCCCAAAACTCTTCCCGGTCCTAAATGGAAACGTGTGAGCCCTGGTCCACAAACTGATCCTGGTCCACAGATCCATCCACAGGTCTTTGAGGGTGTTACTGGGAGCACCTTGCTGCTGGGACGGTGCCGCTGGGAGGGCAGGGGGTTTGCTGTGTGTGGCCAGGGCTCGCGGTGCTGGAGGTTTTGCTGATCCCATTGCACGGAGTTGCTGCAGCTTGCTGGGTCCAGTATGGAAATGGGACCTTCTGTTGGCTCCTGCTGTTGGTAGTTTTATTGATGTCAGTGCCGGCTTCGGCAGCATTGAGGACATTTTAAATAATTTTTTCCGCCAGCAGGGGTAGTCATTGATCTGCAATAATTGTCCTGGCAGCTCCTCTCCTCCCTGTTGCATCCCAGCTTTGCTTCGGAGCCGAGGGCTAGCGATCCCCCTGGTGACATGGAGAGTTTGGGTCAAGAGGCCAAGATGAAATGCCCTTTTCTCTTGGAAGCTGGAGCGTTTGCTGATGGCACAGGCGCCTGGCTCACCTTCAGCCACCCAAAGCATCTCCAACGAAGTGGGGCTGCTGCGAGCCCTGTTCTGGGAGGGGTGGGATCATGGGAAAGGAGACACGGTGAGGACGTGCAGGAGAGGCAGAAGTATGTGCCAAAGAGATGAAATAAGTTCTCCAAACAAATTTCAGAAATCTAACGCTTTGAATATTGCCAGGCCTGAATTTAGACACTAAGATCTGCCTCCTGCAGCTGACCCTGGCCACCTTCCCACCAGCTTCTGCCCCCCCAGAACCGTGGGAGCAGTCATGGGTGTGCAGGGCTGTGGGTGAATGTGGAACAGGTCCAATGTCCTCCCACATGGTTGTAGGATGGTTCCTGCCCTTCCAGGATAGTGGTTTGACCAACTCATCTACTCTGTGCCAAAAGGAACCAGCCTGGCTTAAATCACTAAAAGCAGTGACTCTGCCCTGCTGAGTCCTTGTCAGAGAGAGGCAAAAACCTGAAGCTGTTTGGAAGGTGCTGAATTTGGGGAGAGTCTATTGCAACTGCACAGGGTTTAGTGTTGCTGAAGAGCAGATTATTAAGAAGTGGTGGGAGCTGCACTGATGCAGGCTAACTTCTGCAATAGCAGCTGGAGTGCAGGTCATCGCTTTTGTGGACTGGGTCTAACGCTCGTTTAAATCAATGGGCTGAGAGTGTCCACAAGTCCCATTGTCCAATGTGGGGCGTTTGGTGTTCCTGAGGGTGAAGGTCTGTCCTGAGGTGAGGACAGGACCTCCCCATGTCTGTGCCAGGGGCATGGCAGGTGGGTGTGTGCGAGTGATGCACAACTCATCCTCAGCACCGGGAGCTTTCTGGTGACCACAGGCTGGTTGGGTTCTGCTAAGGTCATTTGAAAGCAGAGACATCAAACCCTGGGGACTAGCGAGCTTCCTTGGCAGGGTGGTGGGCACTGGGGTGGGATCTCACATCATGAGAAACTGAGCTGGCAGGCAGGAGAGGGAAACGCTCTCCAGATGCAGCAAACCTCTGCGCTGTCACAACGTGGCTGGGGACCAGTGCTTGCATCCTCCCAGTGCCACGTTTAACAGTGCTTCCTGTTGTCACTTCTGGTTTTTCCTTTGTGATGGGACAAAGTAGCCATAGCACTGGCCCTGGAGCTTTCATGATGTTTTTTTTCCACATCAGGAAGAACTCAGGCATTGCAGAGATGCTTTTCCCAAGGCTTGAGAGAGAGAAAACCTGCCTTGGCTTGCTGGAGACACAGCTTGTGGATTTGTTACTACTCTTTGATTTAATCAGCCTGTGTTGTTAGTACCCAGAGGTGTTGACTAAAATAAGAGTTTTGTTGCACAAGCTGCTGATTTGAGTTGCTTATCCCTGCTGCTTAAGGGGAAAAACCAGCAGCAAAGCCGAAACTGGAGCAAGTCTCTCATCCCCCTCTCTCACCCTTAATAACATGTAGCAGGAAGCAAAGCTGGTGGATTCGAGAGTGACAAGAAACCAGCAACGATGGATTATTGTTTGCAGAAGGGTTTGTTTCACACATTTGCTGAAAAATATTTGGGAGGCAAGAGCCCAAGTAGGTTTACACTGATGCCTGAGGTGTACAGGACTAAAATGAGAAGGGTCAGGAGATGCAGGATGGCTGCGGTGGGGCTGCCTCCTGCCAGCATCTGATGGCACGTGTGGATATACCATGGGGGCAGGCATAGGACCCGAGTACAAAGTGACGATGCACTTTGTATTTGCCAGTTTGGAGTTCAGCTTAGCCTGGGCTGTGGGGTCTGTACCCTGGCTGCCATCTCTGCTGCCTCCATTGCAGGAATTTCTTGCTGCTCTGGTCCATCGTGGTTAGGCTGGGATAACATTCTGCGAGACCAAAGCCAATGCTGGTGGGTGAGCCTTTAGGCTGAGCAGTATCACTGGCAGGATAGGGTCACTCTCAAACCAGAGAGTTTTAAAAATATCTGGCTGATGTTATTAGCTCTGCCTTGGCTGGAGAGTGGCCTGGGCATAGTTCCTGTAATTCTTCTGGTCCTGTGAAAATCAAATCAAACCCAAGCCCGGGTAGTGCCGGTGTTGATTAATGCACCCTGCTGGTAGGTTTGATTGTTTGCCAAATTAATATCACAGAATCACAGAATCACAGA